ATGCCTGTGGTTCCTGCAATTCCAAAAGAGTTCAAAGGAAATGACGCAGCTCCTGCAAAAGAATTTGTAACCTACCTACCACCAGACCACAATAACATACTAATATATGCTTTCTCTCCCAACAAGATGGTGGCATTTCAAACTATTAAGATCAAATCAGAGCGCTAAATATTAATTATAATAATTAAGATAGCTTGCCAGGCAAGGTAATATACGCCCACTGGCAAATTTGATTTTGAACATAAATATTTAGCAGTTCAGTAACAATCACTCATATGAAATATTCAACCTTCAGTCATACTATTCTTTTGAACTCTTTAGGGTGATACTGAATAATATTGAGTATAAGTTATTGCCCTAGTTCTTGAAAACGTGTTCAATCTTTAGCTTGTGAAAAGTCTAGAAGACAAATATTCAATCTTCAGCACGGTAATGAATAATAAAACCAAGTTTTGTCAAAATCCGGCAAGAATTATGCCTTCTAGAGTTTTTATGAGCTACGAATTGGACGAGTTTTCAAGAACAAGGGCAAGAACTCATACTAAATATTTTTCGATTTTTCTGATTTTCAATAGGCTTTGTCCTTGGGTGATAACAAACACTCAAGCCAAATTTCGTTAAAATGCATCAAGAATTGTGCCTTCTATAGTGTTTACAAGCTAAAAATTGAATGCGTTTTCAAGAATAAGGGCAGTAACTCATACTCAATATTTTTAGATTCTTCTGATTTTCAATAGGGTTCATCCTTGGGTGATTATGAACACTCACACCAAGTTTGGCCAAAATCAGTCAAGAATAGTCCCTTCTAGGTTGTTTACAAGCTAAAATTTTAACGCGTTTTCAAGAACAAGGGCAGTAACTAATACTAAATATTTTTCAATTTTTCTGATTTTCGATAGGGTTTATCCTTGGGTGATTACAAACACTCACACCAAGTTTCATCAAAATCCATCAAGAATTGTGCCTTCTAGAGTGTTTACAAGCTAAAATTGAACGCGTTTTAAAGAACAAGGGCAATAACTCATACTAAATATTTTTCAATTTTTCTTATTTTCGATAGGGTTTATCCTTGGGCAATTACAAAGACTCATACCAAGTTTCATCAAAATCCGTCATGAATTGCACCTTCTAGAGTGTTTACAAGCGTTCCAAGAACAAGGGCAATAACTCATAGTAAATATTTTTCGATTCGTCTGATTTTTAATGGGGTTTATCCTTGGGTGATTACAAACAACCATACTAAGTTTCCTTCGGTCCATCAACATTTCTTGTGAATACATTATAGTTTTTATCTGATTTTAATGAAACTTCATGTGATAATGTATATTGATGAGATCTTGGCCGAATTCGAATTAGGAAAAACACGTCAAAATTTGTTTGTGAACACAATAGAGACTACATTTTTCAACTGATTTTATGAAAAATGGTGTGATCATTTATACTGATGAGATCTTGGACTAGATCGAACGTGATACTTTTTCAATGAACATTTTTTGAGTTATTGCCCTTGACTTAGGAAAAATGCGTTTTTTAAATGATTTATATTGATGAATGGAATGAAGTTTTGCGTCTTTTTATTTATATTGAGATCTTGGTCAAGTTTGAATTTTCCACGATGTCACTCTTGGCAATTGTTTGCCATTGATATTAGAGCTGTATGATTTAATAATTTGATGTATTTGGGTTATTGATATTGATTTTAAAATTTTGTGGAATTACACAGCATAAATAACTGGCAGTAAATATAGATATCATTGAATTCAAACTAATAAAATTTCTTTAACATTCGTAATTTAATCACTAAAGGCTGTTTTATCATTTCTGACAGCTGCCAGTTGGCGTAAGTTACCTTGCCTGGCAAGCTATCTTGTATTCTAAAGCTTGAACACATTGAATAGTTTTGAAAATGTTATACCTCCATATTTTAAGGGCATAGAAAGGCTGATTACCTCATTGAAAAACTCAATCAGTTGAGATGTTGTTAAAAAATGTTTGGCACCAGAACTAAAATAGAAAAAATTAACACATACTATTACTATAATCAGCAAAAAAATGGGAATGCATACTTGTTGAAGATTTGCTATCCAACGCAGTAGACCTCTAAACAAATTGATCTTTAAAGGGATTTTTCTCCAAATCTTTGAATAATTGTAATTAAAACCTACAACAAGATACACCCACTTACTAACACTTACTAAATAAATTTTAAAACATTTTCGGGATTAATTTTGGTGTAGAAAATATGTAAAAATCTTCAGAAGTACTAAGAAGGAATTGGGCCTTCTAGAGTGTTGCAGGCTAATACTTGAACGCGTTTTAAAGAACAAGAAATGGGGGTGCACATTGTTGTCACCCATGTCTGTCAGTCCGTCTGCTATTGCTCATAAACACTATACAAGGAACAATTCTTGGCTGATTTTGACTAAACTTGGTATGGTTGTTTGTAATCACCCAAGGATGAAAATCAGAAAGATAGAAGGTAATATACGCCCACTGGCAGCTTTGATTTCAAATAAAAATATTTGGCAGTACAGTAACAATTATCTGTATGATATATATTCAACCTTCAGACATACACTTCTTGTTAACTTTTGGAGGCGATACTGAATAATATTACCAAGTTTCATCAAAATCTGTCAAGAATTGAGACTTTTAGAGTGTTTACAGATCTAAACTTGAACGCGTTATTAAGAAGATAGCTTGCCAGGCAAGGTAATATACGCCCACTGGCAGCTTTGATTTTTAATTAAAATATTCAAACTTGAGTCATACACTGAATAATATTGAGTATGAGTTATTGCCCTTGTTCTTGAAAACGTGTTCCATTTCTAGCTCGTGAAATGAAGGCAAATATTCAATCTTCAGCTCGGTACTGAATAATGAAGTTTTCTCAAAATCCGGCAAGAATCGTGCCTGTTAGTGTTTAAGAGCAATTTGAAAGCATTTTCAAGAACGAGGTCATTAACTCCTATAAAACATATTTTCGATTTTTTTGATTTTCCATGGGTGATAATAAACAATTTCACCCATTTTCGTCAAAATCTGTCAAGAATTAAGCCTTCTAGAATGTTAACAAGCTAAATATTGAACGCATTCTCAAGAACCGGGGCAGTAACTCTTATTAAATGTTTTTTGATTTTTCTGATTTTCGATAGGGTTCACACTTGTGTGATAACGAACACTCACACCAAGTTTCGTCAAAATTTGTTAAGAATTGAGCCTTCTACAGTGTTTACGAGCTAAGAATTGAACGAGTTTTCAAGAGCAAGGACAATAACTCGTACTAAATATTTTTCGATTCTTCCGATTTTCAATAGGGTTCATCCTTGGGTGATTACAAACACTCACACCAAGTTATGTCAAAATCCGTCAAAAATTGTGCGTTCTAGAGTGTTTACAAGCTAAAAATTGAACGTGTTTTCAAGAACAAGGGCAATAACTCATACTAAATATTTTCCGATTCTTCTGATTTTCAATAAAGTTCATCCTAGGGTGATTACGAACACTCACACTAAGTTTCGTTAAAATCGTGCCTCCTAGAGTATTACGAGCATAAAATTGAAAGTGTTTTCAAGATCAAGGGCAATAATTCATATGAAATATTTTTCGATTTTATTGATTTTCAATAGGGTTTATTCTTGGGTGATGACAAACCCTCATGCCAAGTTTCATCAAAATCCATCAAGAAACGCATCTTGTAGAGTGTTTACGAGCAATTGTGGACGGACTGACCGACAGACCTATGCACAGACATAGGTATCAGCAATATACCACTTCATGTGGTGATTCCAAAAAGAAAATATAGCTTGCCAGGCAAGGTAAAATACGCCCACTGGCAGCTTTGTTTGAAAATGAACATTGAAGAACAAGGGCAATAACTCATATCATATAATTTTCGATATTTCTGATTTTCAATAGGGTTTATCCTTGGGTAATACACAATTTTACTAAGTTAAATCAAAATCCATCAAGAATTGTGGCCTGTAGAGTATTAACGAGCTAAGAATTGAACTCGTTTTGAAGAACAAGGGCAATAACTCATATTAAATATTTTTTGATCTTTTTTATTTTCAAAAGGGTTTATCCTTGGGTGATAATACACAACTTCACCAAGTTTCTTCAAAATCTAGCGAGAATTGTGGCATATAGAGTGTTTACAAGCTAAAAATTTAATGTGGTTTGAAGAACAAGGGCAATAACTCGTATTAGATATTTTCCGATTTTTCTGATTTTCAATAGGTTTTATCCTTGGGTGATTATAAACAATTTCAGTAAGTTTCGTCAAAATCTGTCAAGAATTGTGCCTTCTAGAGTGTTTACAAGCAAATTGTGGACGGACGGACGGACCGATGGACATGGGTGACGACAATATACGCTTCACATTTTATGTGGGCGTATAAAAACAGGCAGCAATATCCAATCACAGAAGACTTTTTGATGGGATCACCAATACCACTGGTAGTACAGCGATTCATTTGATGTATACTGAACTTGGTGTAAAAAATAATAAAACTTGACATCAAATACCATTCTTTAATACCCAACGTTTTGTCAAAAAAGTTTTGACTTCATCAGGGGAAGAAACAAACTACAAATTAATGGTGGAGGTAAGTTAAGATTAAAATTACAATATGACCTCGTAAGGTTTATGACGTCACAATCTTTGAAATCACATAACAAGAGAAGGGTCAAATCACAAAATGGTGGGAGGCAATTTGATTCTTGATAATATGACATAAGAAGTATGTAATGATGACTTCAGGATTTGCCAAAGAATCTAAACAGGAAAGGAAAAAAGGGGTGGGGGGGGGGGGGAATACACTAATATTAAACAATTTTAAGCCAGCTTAACTTCCAACCGTTCTTCGAGCCTGGTTTTCGTTTTTTCGGGCGAGCGTTCAGACGGATATAAAAATTAAGCCAGCTTTGACATGACCCCAGAAGTTCAGAGGTCAAAATACCATGACGTATGCGCGTGTAATGTTTACTTTTCCCACAAAATGGCGGCGATTCCGATTATATTGATTTATAAACTTCTTCAACTTTCCTTTTTACGACGAAAGAGAACGGCATCTTTTGAAAGAAGACGCCGGAGACGTCCTTTCATGTTACAGCAACAGAGGATGGAGAGGATAAGAAGATTTGGCGAATTTCAACAAAGACTTTTAACCTTTTTCCTATCGATGTCATTATTATTGAATACATGTAATTGTAGTCCGATTATTGACAGAAGATTATGGTCTCGAGATCACCCTGACCAGTGGTGGAAAAATGCCTATAGGTAACTACGTTTAGAATCATAATATTTTGCAACTGTTTTCACTCTCGTTGTAATTCAAATTTGACCGATTATTAGTCAGGGATTTCGATTATCAGCCATGAAAAAAGTTTTTATCAGTAATATCCAAATCCTGAACTCAAGATTGACCAACCAACAATAAATTTCTTATCAAATAAACAAAAATCATTCCAAAAACTGTTAAAAAGAATAGATAGTACATCTATTGTCTCGTACCCGTATGCACTGTCGATTGTGTAAGTTATATCTCAAATCAGGAGGTCAAGAAGCATTTTTGCTTACAATAGACCGAAGAAGAGGTAACAGGTAAACAGGTAAACATACAGTGTTGTATCCGCCTTTTTTTTTCAGAAGTTATGATGACACCCAATTTATTGAAAATTTTCGATTGACCAGATTGACATTTGTTGGCTTGTGCAATTTGTTGAGAGCTGATATTGAAAAGCAGGATACAAATATGAGATCATCAATATCAGTTGAACGAAGGGTGAGTCTATGAATTATTTTCAGTATTAATGATAGGGCAGTTAAGAAGAGTATTGTTCATGCTATGAATGTGGATAAATTTTTACCTTCAGCTTTAAGTTGTTAAACTTTTTTTTGTGGGGACTATGATAGCATTGAGTTGCTCCCTTTCACTTTTTAGTCAGTCTTCTGTGGTTCTTGCTAAGCCTTTTATGATGTCACTAGTATTACACAGCTGTATAGATATTGTTAGGCCCTAGTAGCTTTATCTTGGTGATGTCATAAAATGCTTAGTTTTTATCACATTGCTTAAACCATAGAAATTGAAATGGTGCAAATCAATGCTATCAGTGTCACATGCACATAAATACATTTGAAGTTATATATGCCAGGTGTCAGAGAGTAATAGTGGATAATAAAAAGAATATGTTTCTTTTCAGATTGGTGTATTGTTATGGGTCCTTGGAACAAATGCAGATTATAGAACTGTTGCTGCATTATTTGGTATGGGTCGTTCTACAGTATGTTGCATTGTACAAGAGGTTGTCAAAGCGTTGGTTAAAAGGAAATCATCCTTTATTGTTTTTCCTCAAGGTACTGAACTAGATAGAGTGGTCGATGGTTACAAGTCAAAGTGGGGATTCCCAAATGCTGGGGGTGCAATAGATGGTAGCCACATCCCTATTCTGTGTCCGCTGAACAAGAATACAGACTATCACAACAGAAAAGGGTGGTATTCTGTCGTGATTCAGGCGGTTGTGAATGACCGCTATGAATTCACAGACATTAATGTTGGATGGTCAGGAAGCGTGCATGATGCACGGGTGTTTGCAAATTCTGGTATTTTTCAAAAAGGTGAACATTTATTTCGTAAGCATGTAAGAATTGGTGAAAATAGTATACCAGTTGTTTTGTTGGGTGATCCAGCCTATCCATTGTCCAATTTCTTGATGAAGTCTTATCTCGATAATGGCCATCTAACAGCAGACCAGAAATATTTCAATTTCAAATTAAGTAGCAAGTAGCGCCTGAAAGCGCATTGGCGCATTTTGCAAAAACGTTTGGACTTGAATATCGACATAGTACCGGATGTGATCACTGCCTGTGTAATCCTCAACAACATTTTATTCGTCTGGGGTGGCTTGAGGAGGTTAATCGAGCTAATCTGGCCCTTCCACAACCTCGGATCAGAAATAATAACCAAGCCCTTCAGGCCAACATAGTTGGTGATGGTAATCAAATAAGGGATATTATCAAAGATCGAAACTTGGTGTGAGTGTTTGTAACCACCCAAGGATAAACCCTATCGAAAATCAGAAAAATTGAAAGATAATTAGTATTAGTTATTGCCCTTGTTCTTGAAACGCTTGTAAACACTCTAGAAGGTGCAATTCGTGACAGATTTTGATGAAACTTGGTTTGAGTGTTCGTTATCGCCCAAGGATAAACCCTATCGAAAATCAGAAAAATTGAAAAATATTTAGTTTTAGTTACTGCCCTTGTTCTTGAAAACGCATTCAATTTTTAGTTCGTAAACACTCTAGAAGGCACAATTCTTGACGGATTTTGACGAAACTTGGCATGAGTGTTGGTTATCACCCATGGATAAACCGTACTGAAAAACAGAAAAATTGAAAAATATTAAGTATGAGTTATTGCCCTTGTTCTTGAAAACACGTTTAAATTTTAGCTTGTAAACACTCTAGAAGGGACAATTCTTCACAGATTTTAATGAAATTTGGCTTGAGTGTTGGTTATCACCCAAGGATGAACCCTATTGAAAATCAGAAGAATCTAAAAATATTGAGTATGAGTTATTGCCCTTATTCTTGAAAACGTGTTCAATTTTTAGTTTGTAAACACTCTAGAAGGCACAATTCTTGACGGATTTTAACAAAATTTGGCTTGAGTGTTAGCTATCACCAATGGATAAAGCCTATTGAAAATGAGAAAAATCAAAAGAATTTTCAATTTGTAGCTCATAAAAACTCTAGAAGGCAGGATTCTTACCGAATTTTGACAAAACTTGGTTCTATTATTCATTACCGCGCTGAAGATTGAATATTTGTCTTCTAGAGTTTTCACGAGCTAAAGATTGAGTACGTTTTCAAGAACTAGGGCAATAAATCATACTCAATATTATTCAGTATCGCCCTAAAGAGTTCAAAAGAAGTGTATGACTGAAGGTTGAATATTTCATACTGGTGATTGTTACTGTACTGATAAATATTTATGTTAAAAATCAAAGCTGCCAGTGGGTGTATATTACCTTGCCTGGCAAGCTATCTTTCACATTAAAAAAAAACATGCTATCCCTTTAAGCAACGAACGATGGACCCACTACAGTAATGGGCAAGGTGCCAAATTGAAGGATCTGCCAAAGGCCAATGTATTTATTATCACTTTTAGGAATGCTAACTCTTTGTTATTGTAATGAAATAAGTAAGTTATATTGTTTATTTAATTTGTTGCATTTAAATTTGAATTTTGTTATAATGAAATAAGTAAAATGTGCCATTTCTTCTCATTAAAATTAATGAAATTGATCTTTATTCAAAGTACAGTTAAAAATAAGATTTGCTGCCACAAAATCAATTTATTCAAAAAAAAACAGTCATTAATACCAGTACCTTATTCAAAAACAATAACAATATAGATCAGAGGGAGAAGGGGGGTATTGTCACCCGAGAGGGGGCAAAATCTGAGTTAACTTTTTTAGAGGCATTTTTCCTCAGGAATCCGAATCTGGGAGGTAAAGTGCCGGGTCAGGGGGCGTTTTTGAGTTATTCAAGGTCAAAGGTCACGAAAGGTCAAAAAACGTTAAAGATTGAGAATTTAACTACAAAATGTGTACAAATTCATTGATATCAACTAGAAATTGGCGAAAGCCCATTAGTGTGAATCGGCACTATCTATAAGTCCCAATTCTTTGAGGCAATCCAGGTCAAAGGTCACTAAAGGTCAAAACAGGTCAAAATGGAAAGACGGATCTCATTGATCATGTCAATACGCAATATCAAGTAGTTGTTAAAACTCCTATCGAAATAAATCATTTACAAGTACATGTACATGCATGAAACAAATTTAACTAACAATTTGAGAATCTCTGAATCACAGTAGGCCTAATTCGTCTAAAATGCCGTCAGCGAAGTGTTCAATCGATAATCCTTCAGGTTCATCGTCAATCACGTCGTCGAACAGTTCTTCGTCAACAGTTTCTCCACTAGGTCCGATAACACATTTGGATATGGTGTCTTCACCCATTTAATCATTAAATCGTTCGTTCAACCATTATTTGACGTAGAGATATAATAGGCTGATCAGACAGCCGCCACATTCTAGCAATATAGTTAGCACACTGTATATGCAGTAGGCCTACTAAGGACGTCAGACACGGGGGGAGAAAACATAGGTAGACTATCTTTCTCTATCTGAGATTTCAGGGTATTCACTTTACTGAGTACAGTGTTCAGTTTCTTCTGATTTTGATCATAATTTTTCTGAAGTTCTGCCTGGCAACTACTCAATGCTGTTTGTCGATATTCGTTGATTTTCTTCAACGAATCCTCGGCTATATTCTTCACTGTTTTCAATTCTTCTAAATTACGTTTCAGACTGTCTTTCTGATCTTTGTAATTTTCTAAAATGACGTCTTTAGAGTCTTTGATATTAAGAAAAGAATGGTTTTGGTGTTGACCAAGAAGGCATGTCGAACACAAAATGGTGTTACAGTCTTCACAGAAACATTTCAGCTCCTCCTTAGGATGTTTGGAGCAGTAATCTGTATCTCCTGTTCTGTTTGTTGAACTGGTTGATGGAGCAGATAGATAAAAATTTGTTGAAAACTTCCTCACCCCGCCATCAAGAATTTGCTGATTTTGTTACACATTTGATGGTGTTGCAGCTACCTGCCAAATTGGAACTAGCCAGGTCTTCCAGACACTTCCTACAAAATGTATGATGACAATCCAATAATTTAGGTTCCTGGAATGGTCCAAGACATACAGCACATTCAAACTCTTCTACATTCCCATCCATTTTGATTTTGAATGCTGAACAATTCAATAATCTTTATGGTACGTTATTATATAATCGAATCTCTTATGTCATGTTTTTATCAACCCGAAAACTGAACAACGTAATAAATATAATCCGCAGACCAGTTAACAATCCACCATAGTTTCCCTTGACAACTAAAAAACACCCTGTTTGTAGTTTAAAGTTTAAAGATCTCCAATCCTATGGTAATAGTAATATAAAGTGTCTCCAGCATTTCTAGATTTATACCTCCAATTTTAGTTAAAGGGACAGATGTGCCATTTTAGAGGGTTGATTTTAGTCTTGAAAATATGTAAATAGTCTTCAGAAGTACTAGAAATGTACGAAAATTGCATTTTTCCTTCAAAAATACCTTGTGAGTTTTACTCACTTAATCTAAATATGTCTTTTCTATATATCACAGAGTATAATCTTAAAATGACGAGTCATCATTTTGGCATTCAAACGCAGAGTTGAATTGGACACACACGGAATTGAAGGCGCATCTGTCCCTTTAATGAAGTAAAATTTGTAGAATTTCAAAATATTCGAGAGGTAGACTAATAAATCATGCCAATGACGTTAGTTTCTTAAAATTATAAAAAAACACCGAGAGTTGCCTTGTATTTCTAGATTTAGTGGATCATTCTCCTGAAAATGTTTTGAAACTTTGAATTTGTTGTCATAAATTTCGATTTAAGCTGATCAAAAGATAAATAATAAGGCTGTAATTGAATCCTACTATTTTGTATTTGAACATGTAATTATTTGATCAGGTAAGACTAGAATCGTATTAGCTAAATAGATGGTGTTCTAAATAAAAGCATATTGTTATTTTAATTTATAGTAATGTTCACAATGTCAAGCTATTAGGCCTACAAATTTCATCTTCACAATATCAAGCTATTACAAACTACATCTTCACAATGTCAAGCTAATACAAACTACATCTTCACAATGTCAAGCTATTAAAAACTTCATCTTCACAATATCAAGCTATTACAAACTACATCTTCACAATGTCAAGCTATTACAAACTACATCTTCACAATGTCAAGCTATTACAAACTTCATCTTCACAATGTCATGACCTTTCGTGACCTTTGACCAGGATTACCTCAAAGAATTGGGACTTATAGATAGTGCCGATTCACACTAATGGGCTTTTGTCAATTTCTAGTTGATATCAATGAATTTTGTACACATTTTTTGGTTAAATACTCAATTTTTAACGTTTTTTGCGTTATTTGACCTTTCGTGACCTTTGACCTTGAATAACTCAAAAACGCCCCCTGACCTGGCACTTTACCTCCCAGATTCAGATTCCTGAGGAAAAATGCCTCTAGAAAAGTTAGCTCAGATTTTGCCCCCTCTCGGGTGACAATACTCCCCCTTCTACCTCTGGTCTTATATGACTAGACATAACTCTATTCAAAGAATAAAAATTAAAATAAGATTTGCTGCCAATGACCCATCAATAATTCCATAATGCGATACTCATGCTCCCTCTCCTCCTTCCTCTGTTTAGCTTCCCTCTCTTCTCTTCTGTGTTCTGCCTCATCTTCGAGATTCGTCCTTTTTTCTTCTAATGTCATCATTTTCTCTTCCTGTTGCCGCTGAAAATCTAACATTTTCTCCATCATATAATCTGCCATTACCTGAAATTTGTTTGCTCTAGAACGCTTCTTGCCTACAAAAGTAGAAAATATATATAATTACATGTGTACAACTCATTCTTTACCAATATCAATTCTGTTTTAGAGAAGTTAAATAACAGGATATAATTACTGTATAAAAAAACTAGCAAGTTTGTTATTAAAGTAATTGTTATCCATATAACATATCTGTATGACATCAAAATGTGTAGGTATTTGTCATGAAAAAATCACAGCATCAGTATGGTGGTTGCTCCAGATTTTAAAAGCACAGCTCCCTCATGCCAATTGCACAGGCAAAAATTAAACAGCCAAAACGTGAGAATTCAAACCCAGGTTATTTGCTCTCTAACAAAGGGAAACCATACAAATGACATGTGTACTTACCCCTACTATGTTCTATTTTCTTTGGGGTAGAAGATGCTGCAGGATGTACAAAGGAATCTTCATCTCCATTGTCAATGTCAACATTATTATCATCTTCAGATAAGTTCTGATAATCTAAACAAAAAACATATAATTCTGTCAAGAATTGAGCATTCTAATAAAGTTTTTACAACGGCCGACTTATCAACATGTCATGGGTGACACCAATTTTCTCTAAACATTTTATGCGGATGTTAAAAATGATATACATGTACAATACCTGAATTTACACTGGTATCAACTATTACCGGTGGGGTAATGGCTGGACGTGTCCCCAAAACTTCATCCATTACATCATAGAATTGTGAAGTTTTATTATCATTGCCACTTTTATTGTTGTGGTCTTTGACTTTTTTGTAAGTAAATTTCTTCATTCTGATTTGCCAGGCATCGCCAGATTTCTGATAACCTTGTTCCTGAAAACAAATTACATCACATTACATTTACCACATCACAATTGTTGAGGAAGAATGCAAGGGCAGGTAAGTAAGTGAACAAACATACTAATTACAAAAAAATACAAGTCATCTTTCTTGGAGACAAATTTCTGTTGTTTATATCTGAGATACAATACTTGCCAAGTGAGCTTAGAGACAAAAATTCAACCACAATGTTAATAGAATTTCAATTTCCAATTAGGCTATTTATGGTTCGAATGGGAACATCAGACTAAAAATTCTTTCTGTTTCATTTTCATTTCCATAAAAATTCCAACCCATTTTCATCCGTGTCTATGCCAGAGCTCAGTACAGTGCTTCGAAAAACAATAGAGGTTGGGGAGGGGGGTTGCATATAAAATTGATCAAATTGATAGAAAGGAACGAACTGCCTATGGGACTACCATTCTGAATTAAATACGTGTACCACAGGTACAATAACTTACCTCCATCTTTGATGACACTGTGTCCCATACCTTCTTTTTCCTGGTGACTGCATCCAGCTGCCGCTGAATCCCGACAGCCCCCCAAATGCGTATCAAACATTTGGTTTCAAGCGCCCCCCCAATTAACCCCCTATTTTCTTTGGCTCGTTCATTTTCATTTTCTTGCTCCATGGCTAAAGTTGTTGTTTGTTGACAAATACAAATAGGTAATGGCGGGAATCGGGGACAGGACTGCGCAATCGTGGGAAATGTTATATCCGGCTTTGTTAGCCAGGAGCGTTCAGACGGCAAAACTAAGCCAGCTTAACTTTACAAGCCAGGTTTCAAGCCACCTCCGAAGTAGTGCAAGTTAAGGCAGCTTAACTTCAATCGGTCGCGTTCAGACAACAACAAAAAACAGGCTCGAAGAACAGTTGGAAGTTAAGCTGGCTAGTCTGAACGCAGTATAAGGTAAGGTTGGTTTATTTTTTAAATTTTATTACGTCACTAACACTTCCGGAATCAGATGAGATTTTAAAGCCCACTAGCAAAAATGCAACCTCCTTAGTGTATTAATAAAATTGTAACGCATTTATAACCTATATTTTTAATACACCATTCTGAAAACTTTTATCAGTCACTATATTTTTGTTATATTAGTTCCTGAATGTCTTAGATTTCGGGGAAGGGAGGGTTTGATTCTCCCAAATGTACAGGCCTAGGGTGGAGCAGACGCTTTATTTAGAAATTAGGATTAAGGATCTTGATATTGGGTTTTCTTCTGTTCTTATTCTGATCTGAAATAAGAAAAAATAACTCGCCCGATGGGCGAGAAGTATAGTATCTGTTATGTACTGATTGTTTTTAGTTTACTATGAACAATATTATCATTTAAGTTCTTATTTTTTGAATATGCAACTATCATTTTCTGCTTATAGACATAGGGGAATTTCTCTTGAAGGCTCTTATAGTGGGCATGAACTATCTCGCTTGCTGGTTGTATTAAACGGGACAACAAAGGGTGCTATGCCTACATTATGATGAATATTTAGTCCTATAGGTCTTGCTGTATTCAATGTCTCAATCCAATGGGCCTCCCTAGATTGACGGAATTTGGTAGTTTCATCTTCGGGCAAGTCAATTTCTATACGCTCAATTGGGATTAGGGTGAGATCGTCTATTGAATGGTCCTCGAGGTTGAAATGATTAGAAACAGGCTTGTCTTTCTTTAATTTGATGTCTGACCTATGAGCATTAAAGCGAGTTCGTAAATTATTCTTAGTTTCTCCTACATATTGTTTGGGGCATTTCTTGCATGAAATTAAATATATTACATTCGAATGTTCACATGTTAGATGTTCCTGGATCGGGTACCTTTTATTCGTAGAGTTGCTTACAAAATAATGAGTTTCTGATATAAAGAGACATGTTTTGCATCTACATGACAAACATGGAGCACTTCTTAAACCTGGAGGTACTTCGGCATAAAGTCTGTTTTAAGCTGCTATCTGTGCTAAGGTGGAATTTTTTATGTTTCGTAAAAATCGTTTAGAGTATCCACGCTCTTTCAGTTTTGAGAAAACAATCGTACAGGCTTGGTTGAAATCAGAAGATCTTGTACAAATTCGATGAAATCGTAAAACTTGTGACTTAATTATACCAGAAAAGGTATGTTTTGGGTGAAAGGAGCTCTTGTGCAAGAGTTGATGAGTATCAGTTTCTTTGAAATACACTTAAATATCCAGTTTATTTGTTTCTGCTATGGAATCTCCCTTAAAGACTGTGGTATCGAGGAAGTCTATGCTTTTGTCACTCACGTTTGCGGTTAGTTTGATAGAAGGATGGTGGTTGTTGAGAATTTCAAAGAATTCCCAAAACTGTTCGATAGAATAAGTCCAAACCATAAAAATGTCATCCAAAAAGCGTCCGTAAAAAAGTGGGTCAAATGGGCAGAGGGGCAACACCTCACGTTCCCATTCTGCCATGAAAAGGTTTGCGTACGAAGGGGCGAATCGTTTGCCCATTGCTGTCCCTGAAGTTTGTAAATATGTTTTACCATTAAATGTGAAATCGTTTCGAGAAAAATCTCTAAAAGCCGTAGAATTGCATCGTCGGGTCTGTTTGGATCTGGGTTTGTATTAAAAGCTTTACGAACTGCCGTTAAACCAGTAGTGTTATTGATATTGGTATACATAGAAGAAACGTCGATAGAAATTAAAATAGCATTAGAGGGAACTCGAAGATTTTTTATTTTATTGACAAAATCGGTTGTGTCTTTAAGGTAGGCGCGATGTTGGCATGCTAGAGGTAGTAAGAAATGATCAATGTATTCTGACACTGCATATGACTCACTACCACAGTCAGATATAATCGGGCGGCCTTTAGGGATTTTATTCGAGATAAACCACTCCTTGGTTGGATTCTTATGGATTTTAGGCAAAGTGTACAAATGTCTCTCGCGACAATCAGGTTTGGCAGACAGATAGTCATCTTGTTTCTGTTTGAGATAACTAGTTTTGACTAAATCGGTAAGAATATTATTAATCATGTTAGCAGTTTCTTTGAAAATTGGTTTTGGTAAAATGGCATAATGTTTAGGATTATTCAGTTGATTCTCTGCTTCTGAAATGTAATCCTCCCTATTCAGAATGACACAACATGAACCTTTGTCACTCTTTTTAATAACAATGCTATCGTCTTTCTTAAGTAAGTTTAACGCTTCACGTTCCACTCGTGTGAGATTAGGCTTTTCGTGTGTTATGGAAAGGTTCACTGTTTGGCTATTCATACTCGCAAATGCTTTCAATATTTCAGGATGGATGGCGGCCTGAGGGGGTGTCCACGTGGATTTAGGAATAAACATTGTTCTAGCACCACATGGGGGGTGGTTTCGAAAAAAATATGTGCAGCTAAGATTTCGTTGAAATCGTTCAATGGATGGTCGGAGATAATTCAAGTTAGCTATCTTTGGTGTGGGAATAAACTTAAGTCCACGATCTAAGATTGAATGCTGAAGGGGTGTGAGAATTTTGCCTAGCGGTGGCCTCTCAGTATTTTTATCCCCAGTAATTAGTTTAAAGACTTACTCGATGCTTGAAGCTGGTGTATTCAAAACAAATAGATGCTGTTTGCTGTTTCTGGAGACCAATGAAGATTATCAACTGTTTCGATAAATTTTATTACGTCACTAACACTTCCGGAATCAGATGAGATTTTAAAGCCCACTAGCAAAAATGCAACCTCCTTAGTGTATTAATAAAATTGTAACGCATTTATAACCTATATTTTTAATACACCATTGTGAAAACTTTTATCAGTCAATATATTTTTGTTATATTAGTTCCTGAATGTCTTAGAGTTAGACCAGCCAGCAGTGCTCATGATTTCTTTCACAGACACTTTATTTAATCTTGCTTTAGACGTGGATGCACTCCTTGTCAAATGAGTTTTGTAGGTTGAGACATCTATTCCTGATAGTGATAAAACAGACTTTATCCATGGACTAATGGTGTCAGCAGTCACATATTTGTGTGGCTTAATAAAGCTTATTAATTAGTTTCTTCGCCATTGCTGTTGTGTTATCTACCATGAGTTTGACATGTAAGTTGGACTTGCCCACACAAAAAGCTCTTAATGCGTGATAAACAGCAAGTAATTCTAAAAAATTGATGTGGTTGTTTCTTTCATTATCACGCCATCTACCGCCTATACTCACAGTACCACAACATGCACCCCACCCGGCTAGAGAGGCATCAGATGTGATAACAATTGTGGGATTATCTTTTATTATTGTTCGACTTTGTATACTCAGATTATCTATCCACCATCTGACGTCATCTCTCATAATGGAGGTTACACTCAAAAAAACGTCAAACTGACCACGATTAAGTTTAAGAGCTTCAATTTTTGCATACTCTAAATTGCGATTGAACAGTGGCCCATGGTCTACAGCTGAGAAAGTGCCTATGACTTCTGCTAACTGTTTAATTGAAAAGCTAGATTTGTCAATAAGTTTCTGACAATTAAGAATTAACTTATCTACTTTATGCTCTGGTAAAAACACTCTCATTTGAACTGTGTCAATGAGAAACCCCAAAAATGTGAGTCTTTGGGTTGGGACCAGACATGACTTTTTATCATGAACTTGAAAACTGAGGCTAGTAAATTTATAGTATCCTCTATATTCTTAGCACACTGTTCAGCATTGTTGCTTATTAATAAAGAGTCGTCAATGCAGCCTACATTTGTATGACCTCTGTAAGGTTGAATACACAGGTTTTATTAATTTGGTAATATATTGGGGAGCATTTTTAATCTTCTATTGCTATGGGAACAGAATAGTAAGCATGTCTCAAATCTACAGAGGCCAAATACGAATTAGGTGTTAATAGCTTCAACCCTGATTCAAAGGTATCCATTTTGAAATGCCTATACCAGATATACTTATTGACCTCTTTGAGATTTAAGATCATTCTGTGTTCACCATTTGGTTTAGGCCTAGTGAAAATAGGAGAGGTAAATTGACCTTCGCATGGTTTTACTTTAACCAATACACCCATAGACAACATTTGTTTTATCTCATTGTCAACAATAGAAATTTTAGAATCGTTATATATATATATATATATATATATATCACCACTTTCAATTGTTTATGAACAGGCCTTTCAAATTCCAAGTGACAATGAGATGCAATGTCTAAAATATTTATATCGGAAGTTAGCAACTCCCATTGTGATCAAAATAATTTCAATCTACCTGCCTGAAAATGACAACCTGTGTGTGTAGTATTAAAAGGGCATACCTTTACTTCTTGCTGGGCTCCACTCTGGAGTTTTTTGAGACACTGGAGTCAGATTTCTCTTGATTAGAATTGGTACGCCACCTGGACCAATTTGAATTATAACTATTATACCTTCCTCGACCACGACCTCTGGTTTGTTGATGACCTCGCCCTCTATGGCTGAGATTATAACCACCTCTCTGTCTTGGATAAGTTGGAGCTCTGCTTAATCGCTTACCAATACGATTTATATCTTGTATTTCCTTAACTATCTTAACTATCTTAACTACCATGATGTGTAAAGCAAAGACGGAGAAGTCAAATGTGCATAATCAGAAACAACATCCGGTTTGTGAATTTCTTTCCGGCGTAAATTGAACAAACGGTTAGATTGTCCTAACAAAACTAA